TCTACCAGTCATTTAAAGAAGAGTTGACACCTATTCTTTTCAAATTGTTCCAAAAAATAGGATGGAAGGAAAGCTTCCAAACTCATTCTATGAAGACAGTATTACCTTGATTCTAAAACCAGACAAAGACCCCACTAAAAAGGAGAATTACAGGCCAATATCCTTGATGAAACTGGATGTAAAACTTCTCAACAAGATCCTAGCAAATAGAATCCAACAGAATATACATTAGAAGAATTATTCACCATGATCACGTGGAATTTATTCCTGGGCTTGAGGGCTGGTTCAATATTCGCAAATCAATCAACATGATACACATTAATAAAAGAATAAGAACCATATATCCTCTCAATAGATGCAGAAAAAATATTTGACAAAATACAGCATCCTTTCTTGATAAAAACCCTCAAGAAAATAGGGATAGTAGGAACATACTCCATCATAATAAAGGCCATATATGAAAGAGCTACAGCTAATATCATCCTCAATGGGAAAAGACTGAGATCTTTCCCCCTAAGGTCAGGAACACGACAGGGATGTCCACACTCACCACTGTTGTTCAACATAGTACTGAAAGTCCTAGCCTCAGCAATCAGAAAACAAAAATAAATAGAAGCCATACAAATGGCAAGAAAGAAGTCAAATTTTCACTCTGCAGATGACATGACACTCTACGTGGAAAATTTGAAAGAGTCCATCAAAACACTACTAGATTTCAGGGTGCCTGGGTGGCTCAGTCAGTTGAGCATCTGACTTTGGCTCAGGTCAGGATCTCACAGTTTGTGAGTTCGAGCCCCGCATCGGGCTCTGTGCTGACAGCTCAGAGCCTGGAGCCTGTTTCAGGCTCTGTGTCTCCTTCTCTCTGCCCCTTCCCCGCTCATGCTCTGTCTCTCTCTGTCTCTCAAAAATGAATAAACATTAATAAACAACAACAACAAAAAATACTAAACTAAAAAAAAAAAAAAACACTGCTAGATTTCATACATGATTTCAGCAAAGTCACAGGATATAAAACCAACATAGAGAAATCGGTTGCATTTCTATACACCAATAATCCTTTGCAGAAAGAGAAATCAAGGAATTGATCCCATTAACAACTGTACCAAAATCAGTAAGATACATAGGAATAAACATAACCAAAGAGGTAAAAGATCTGTATGCTGAAAACTATAGAAAGGTTATGAAAGAAATTGTAGAACTCACAGGGAAAAGGAAAAACATTCCATGTTCATGAACTAGAAGAACAAACATTGTTAAAATGTCAATACTACCCAAAGCAATCTACACATTCAATGCAATCCCTATCAAAATAACACAAGCATTCTTCACAGAGCTAGAGCCAACAATTCTAAAATTTTTATGAAACCAGAAAAGGTCCTGAATAGTCAGAGCAATCCTGAAAAAGAAAACCAAAGCTGGAGGCATCACAATTCTGGACTTGAAGCTGTATCACAAAGCTGTAATCATCATGACAGTATGGCACTGGCACAGAAACACATAGGTCAATGGAACAGAATAGAGAACCCAGAAATGGACCCCAAAATGTATGGCCATAATCTTCAACAAAGCAGGAAAGAATATCCAATGGAAAAAAGACAGTCTCTTCAGCAAATGGTGTTGAGAAAACTGGACAGGGACATGCAAAAGAATGAAATTGGAGCACGTTCTTACCCTGTATACAAAAATAAACTCAAAATGGATGAAAGACCTAAATGTAAGACAGGAAACCATTAGAACCATTCAGGAGAAAACAGCAACCTCTCTGACCTTGGCCAGAGCAACTTCCTACTAGACATGTCTTTGGAAGCAAGGGCAACAAAAGCAAAAATGAACTATTGGGACCCCATCAAGATAAAAGGCTTCTGCACGGCAAAAGAAACAATCCACAAAACTAAAAGGCAGCCTACAGAATGGGAGAAGATATATGCAAATGACATATCAGATAAAGGATTAATATCCAAAATCTATAAAGAATTTATCAAACTCACCACCCAAAAAATAAATAATCCACTGAGGAAATGGGCAAAAGACATGAATAGACACTTTTCCAAAGAAGACATACAGATGGCTAAGAGACACATGAAAAAATGCTCAACATCACTCATCATCAGGGAAATACAAATCAAAACCACCATGAGATATCACGTCACACCTGTCAGATTAGCTAAATGAACAACTCCAGAAACAACAGATGTTGGTGAGGATGTGGAGAAAGGGGAATACTTCTGCACCATTGGTGGGAATGCAAACTGGTGCAGCCACTCTGGAAAACAGTACAGAGGTTCCTCCAAAAATTAAAAATAGATACCCTACGACTCAGTAATTGGCACGACTCAGTATTTATCCAAAGGATACAAAAATGCTGATTCAAAGAGACACATGCACCACAATGTTTAGAGCAGTGCTATCAACAATAGCCAAATTATGGAAAGAGCCCAAATGTCCATCAATTGATAAATGGATGAAGAAGATATGTGTGTGTGTTGTGCGCGTTGGGGGGGGTGTGGTGTGTGTGCATACATCTGTACACACACGTACACACACACACACACACATATATATAATGTACACATACACACATACATACAATGGAATATTAGTGATCAAGAAAGAATGAAATCTTGCCATATATTATGCTAAATGAAATAAGTCAGAGAAAGACAAACATGATTTCACTCATATGTGGATTATAAGAAACAGATGAAGATAGGGGAAGGGAAGGAAAAATAAGATAACAGAGAAGGAAGCAAACCATAACAGACTCTTAAATAAAGAAAACAAACTGAGGGTTGCTGGAGGGGAGGTCAGTGGGAGGGATGGGCTAAACAGGTGATAGGCATTAAGGAAGGCACCTGTTGGAATAAGCAGTGGGTGTTATAAGTAAGTGGTCAATCGCTGGATTCTACCCCTGAAACCAATATTACACTATATGTTAACTAACTTGAGTTTAAATAAAAATAAATAATTTTTAAAAAGGTGACAAGGTGTATTTGACCTTAATGATGAAAAATAAGAAAAAAATGAATATTAAGGGTATAGACACATACTACACATAAATATTATGCATGTTGACGAGAGAGAAGACAATAGAGATGATCAGAGGCCAGAAGTATTCCAAATGTGATTTCCTGACTGCTAAGATTGTGGGAAATTAAAAAGATATCTATACACTCTATTCTTGATATTTTATAATTTAACGAGAGAACATTATTCAAATATCAAAACTTACTACATATAACTCATTTCTTCTGCTATGATAGTAGGTACCGTATAATCGATCTGAAAGACAAAAAGTGAAAATAAGACAACTAGAAAGAGGAGCAAAGCATCAAAGATTTCAGACATGTTTCGCAATTTCAAAGAGTTAGAAATCTCTCCTTTTGCATGGCTGAGTCTAAGACTTTCTCTTATACGTGCAAAGAACACATGTCAAGTTTGTGAGGAAATCCTCCCCCTCCCTCAGATTAATATGATATAGAAAGTCAAAAGTCATTGAACTCCTCCAAAGTATTTTATGATGGAAACTTACTTGTTTCATATCCAGTGGGCCAATATTGGTTATGTTGTTTAAGCGAGCCTTTCCAATAACAGTTTTTGAAAACTGAACTTGTGCAGTGATATTTTCAACTTCGACAGAATAATAGTTATTGTTTGTTATATTTAGTGTGTTCTGTAAAAGAAAAGGCAAAAAATGTATAAGCATAACAAATATGTATCCAAAATCAATTTAAAAAAATGACTTCAGAGGTGCCTGGGTGGCTTAGTCCATTAAGCATCCAACTTCAGCTCAGGTCACCATCTCAGTTTGTGGGTTTGGGCCCCACATCAGGCTCTGTGAGGACAGCTCAAAGCCTGGGGCTTGCTTCGGATTCTGTGTCTCCCTCTCTCTCTGCCCCTCCCCCACTCATGCTCTGTGTCTCTCTCTCAAAAATAAACTTAAAAAAAATGACTTCAGCTGTGGCCACACTTCAGTTATTAGGGGGAAGAAAAATATTGCCAAAAATATCAAAGGATATTAAATAAGCTAATTATTTGGTTTTATGATGAATACTATGTACATAATATGCCGACAATAAGCACACAATTAAAAATTAACAGGTCTACGGGGCGCCTGGGTGGCTCAGTCAGTTAAGCATCTGACTTTGGCTTAGGTCATGATCTCACGGTTCCTGAGTTCAAGCCCCGCATCAAGCTCTGTACTGACAGCTTGAAGCCTGGAGCCTGCTTCAGATTCTGTGTCTCCCTCTCTCTCTCCTTCTCCCCTGCTTGTGCTCTCTCTCTCAAAAATAAATAAATGTGAAAAAAAATTTAAAAAATAAACAACAGGCCCAGAAAATGTACATTATAGGAATATAGAAAATGTTAGAAAATGTATTTATGGCCTTAGAAAAATTCTATAAAAATAATTTTTAAATTTCATCTGAATTTCTACTAAATGTTAATATATAAATATCTTCACAGACTATATTAGTAATGTATTTCCTATTCTATCAGGTACAAAAATGACCATTTAAAATGTTAAACAGTACTTCATATAAACTCTTTTGTCTAAAAGAAATTGGTATTTTAACTTATACATGAGTAGAGATTTCTACTGGGTCACTTTGGAGAAGAAATGGGATAGATTCAAGTCTATTTGTTGGAAAGAAATTGAGCTACATCATTTCTGTACTTAACAGCAGGGGCAATTTCCACAATTCTAATTCACAGTTATGTCAAATTATTTTAGAAAATGAGCAGTGGGAAAAAAATGTTAAATCAAGAAATAACAGATAACAAAACATCTAAAACAGTCATCACAAATGAAAATCAATAGTAACTAAATGATGAATGTTAAATATTCATAAGGCAGATTGTAATGGTTACCATTTATATACAAAGAGCCCTCACAAACTGAAAAGAAAACGACAAAATCTTTAGAGGTAAAAACAAACAAACAAAAAAAGTAAAGCATATGAATAAACAAATCAAAAGAGTACAAATATAATTGGCCAAGAAACACTTAAAAACCCTGAAATTCATTTAGAGTTAGGAATAAGCTAGTAAACTTAATATTCATTAAACTAGTAAAGCTTGTAGAAAGCAACAAATTCTATTCTTGGTAGGGATTTGAGCACAAGGGTCAATTTTTACATTACTGGGAAACGTGAAGCATTGCAGCCATTCTGGTAAGTAATCTAGCAATATCCATTAAAATAAAAATACATATATCCTTTGACCTAGCAATCCTACTTTTGAGCATTTATTCCAAAGAAATAAAAACATCATGATGTGAATGAGAATAGTGGCAAAAACAAAAAGAAAAGAAAGTGAATGACCATCCACAAAAATGATTAGTATTAAATTATTGCATGGAATATTACGCAGGCCATTAAAAAGAATGTAGTAAGTCTAAGCCAGAAATTCAGGAGAGATTTCTACAAGGTATTAACAAGTGAGAAAACCAACATGCGTAAAATATGTACAAAATATTCTTTTGAAAATAAATATTACTTTAAGAAAAGCTGACAATGTGAGCTTATAAATTAATATAAATATGGAGAAAGATGAAAAGATGCAATAAGGGATAAGTGGAAAGAAGAATCTTAGTAAAAAAGGATTAAAAAAAGAATGTACTAGTGACCAGCAATTACATGATCACATTTATGTATTAATTTAAATCATAGTTATAAATGTAGAGTTTTTCTTTTAATTTCCTAATATAGTAGAAATAATCTTTACCTAAATATACAAACGTTTTTATCTACTTGGCTCTTAATACCCATGTCAATTTAATTTCTAGACACTGCAGGAAAGAGATTGTTAATTTGAGGTCAATGGACCTTCTGATACAGGCCAAAGAATGGGATTCAGAAGACTCTTGGAATCCTTTGTACATGCAAAATAATGTTGGTAGAGGTCTTTTTCTGAAGTGCCACAGCTTTCATGAGAACATTAAAAGGATCAATCATATATTGAAGGCTAGAAAGATGACAAAGATAAACATTAAGAAAGACAAAAAAAAAAAAGGACAAAAAGTTTAGTACTAACAGACATATTGTTACTGAGAGCAGTGAGAATCCACTTAATTTGTAAGTCAAGAGAGCACAAGCATAAGCTTTCAAATAATGATTTAAAAAAAAAATTTTTTTTTTTAATGTTTGTTTATTTTTTGAGAGAGAGAGAGAGACAGAGTGTGAGCGGTGGAGAGGCAGAGAGAGCGAGAGATACACACAGAATCGGAAGCAGGCTCCCAGCTCTGAGCTGTCAGCACAGACAGCAGAGTTTTCCTGGACAGTAAAACACTATGGATATTTCCCCATATACTAATTTATAAGAGAAATCAAACAGGCACTTGTACCTTATCTTTAGACACAATACAGGAATAGTCTGTTAAAACGGTAAAAATTGTATTTCACCATATATAAGGAAAAGAAAATGTTACCTTTATAACATTTATAGAATCAACCTACTTTTAACACTTTGCAAGAAGCTATTCAAAGGCTGAAAAGTAAACGGACTATAAATATTCTTTTGTCAACAACAGTTTAGTTTATTTACCATTTTAAAGGCAACTTCAGGGGCGCCTGGGTGGCGCAGTCGGTTAAGCGTCCGACTTCAGCCAGGTCACGATCTCATGGTCCATGAGTTCGAGCCCCGCGTCAGGCTCTGGGCTGATGGCTCAGAGCCTGGAGCCTGTTTCCGATTCTGTGTCTCCCTCTCTCTCTGCCCCTACCCCGTTCATGCTCTGTCTCTCTCTCTGTCCCAAAAATAAATAAACGTTGAAAAAAAAAAAAAATTTAAAAAAATAAAGGCAACTTCAAATGCTAAATGATTCTGTATACACAATCACCAGTACTTACTATTTGCCATTTTCGGCACAACCAGAAATGATAGAAATCATCAACAGCAGATATACAGAAAGCAAACTGACCAGTGTCACATTTAATATTCTCTCAGAGGGACAAAAGTGTACTTAATATAATAAAGGAATGTAATCAAATATTTTAATGTAATTTTGTACTTACCGTGATATTTAAATATACTGTACGCTTTTGAACATCATAACTGACGTATGCTGATTTTACGCCAATGTATTTCACGTCAATAGAGCGAGGGAAAAGGAAAAACACAGCCAATCCAGAAAGGAGCAGACAGACAAACACAGAAGCCATCACATACAGCTTTCTGAAAACAAAAATGAGAGTAAGAAAATACATGTGCATCAAAAATTACATAATGAAACATTTAGAGAAGATATTTTCAACTTGAATTTTTCCCCTATTATACCAGCAGGAAAAGATGTATAATTTTACCATTTTTTTTATATTATAAAAGTAATTAGTAGTGTTGGGTCTGGTCTATAAAGTGTTAAAATGTTCTCCTTAAAAGATGTATGTACCTTTTTGGAGACTGGGATTTCAGGATTACTGAAGGCAGAATATTAACTACAGTCATTCCTAAACCAGGCTGCACACTAGAATTAATTAAGCTGGAGAACTTTATAAAAACATGGATTTCAAGAGTCCCTTATCTCCCTTCTGAATTTAGCAGAGCAGAATTTTCACGTGAGTTTTTCACGTGGTTTTGCACGTGATTCCCAAAGTGACTGCTCATCAGAACCACCTATGAAGCCCTTAAAAGCATAATGACATTACCACAAGCCTCATGAATCTCACTAAGTCTCACTAAGACTTTTTGAGTCTCCTCATCCCAAAGTATTTATGTACTCAGTTTTTAAAATATTGTTTACATTAATCAACTCTGTTTTGATGATGCTATTAAGCTGTTTCTTGAAAATCAAGAAAGGGGATAATAATATGCAGATATAAGACAAGAAAAAAAAAAACAAAACAAAAAACTTTCCATGCCTTTCCTAGTCTTCTAACTCTCCTTGACAGGTATCTCTTCCATCTCCCGCTCTTTATTTCCAATCTCCAGAGATAAAAATTGCCTCTATCTTCAATTTTATCCTCAAAATAGGGTTTCAAAGTAAAATTTTCCTGGTTTCTCCAAAAAACAGCTCTCAGCTCAAAGCCCACAGCACCTTTTATTTTTTTTAAAAACTAGGTCTTTTATATTACTTAATCTTTTCTTTATGTTCTAGTCATTAAATAAATACTCATTTTATCCTTTCTCCTACTTTGTCTTCCTCACCAATTCCCAAATCCCTTAATAGACGTAATCTTTGCCTGCCCCACAACTGCTATTTCAAATGACTCTTGCACATGTTTTATGTTTCTGAGTATTTTGTCTAAGAAAAGAGAACAAAATGGTTTAAAAAAAAATAATAAAACAAAGATTCGCTAAGTCACTACCACTAGGCCCACACTACTGTTCTGAGCAAACAAAGACGTTCCCACTCACTCACTCTAGATTTCCTCGAAATGAGTAGGGTGATGATCACTACTACATCACCTACTGAATAGTTTAGCACACATTTATAGTACCTACTCTACACCAAACCCCTAAAAAAGGTATAAAAAAAGAGTTCAAAAATCATGACTAAAAAAATCTGAACTTTGTTGAATTTTCTTCTATTTTAGTGTTGTTATTTTTAATTAGTGCTAGATGAGCCCGCCGTAATCTATTTAGGGTTTAGGGCCTATAAATCAGCTCCGGGTGTTAATATATGATCAATGTCCTAAATTACTCTGCACCCCAAGTTTACAGCCATGAATCTGATGGGATAAACATTCCACATAGTATTTCCTACCAAATTGAAAAACTGGCTAGTACACTGATGAAGACTATAGATGTCTATTATAAAATTCACCAGTCATCATTTTTCTTATGGCTCTAGGGACAGTAATGAATCCTAGGAGGTATAGAACTGATAAAGCTATAAAGATCATGTGGCTTATTTGGACTCAAGTTACATTTCTACTTTTGCCATTTCCTACTTGCAACACTTTCGGCAATTTGCTTTTTTTCTCCACTCTAAAATGTGTAGATTTGTTTTCAGGATTAAATGATACAGCTAAAATATGCAGACAAAAGCAATTAATAAATATAATTTCCTAACTACCTCATCACAACTCCCCCAACTTAAAGAACCACAGTTGTTCGTAAAATATTATAGTTTCACTAAAAAATGAGTCATTGTTTTTTCATCGCACATCTGAAACTCCTAAAAATTCTTAAGGGGCTTCCTACGTTTTTCAGATTTCTTAGCTTACTAATGGTGTGGACCTTGCTACTTTCTCAAGCTTCATCTCTACCACTTTCCAACAGCAGCATTTACTTTAGGCAAACATCTGAATGCCAGCCTGTTACTCTCATCTATGCACATACTGTTCCTTCTTTTGAAACGGTCTACCTCAACTTTTTCTACTTTTCTAAGATTCAGCTAATGCTTCATCTTCTTTGGAGCCTTCCCTAATTCCATAAAATAATTTAGATTCTACCATACTCTGCTCTCATAGTACTCTGGAAATACCTCTAACAGGTAAGACAAAGGTACTGTAATCACAAGCTTACATGTCTATCTCCTCGATAAATTCATAATTCCCTTATACCAAAGATACTTTTGAACAATTTGTATCCCAGGCCTTAGAACAGTGACTGATTTCACAGGTACTCAATAGGTGTCTAGGATGCCGTCCAATAGTATTTTTCTCTTCATATTTCATTCTGAATACTTACTATTGCTATGTATTTAAATTCACTCCTTTTTCCTGAAGTGTCTAATTTGTTGTTAACTCTTCCCATGTAGTTTTCATCTTATTCAGATATTGTAGTTTTCATTTCTAAACATTCTATTTGGATCTTTTTAAAATATCTTCCATGTCTATTCTTAAGCCCCATCTCTTGAAACTACAGAATATAGTTAAAGTAAGTATTTCACTGTCCTTGTCAAATGCTTTCTTCTATGCCATTTATTGGTCTGTTTCTATAAATGGTCTTTCCTATTATGGGCTCTATTTTTCATCTTCTTTTCACGCTTGGTAATTTTTAATTGGATGACAGACTCATATATTTTACCATGTTGAATGCAGGATAATTTGGAATTCCTACATATACATTCTTGAGCTCTGTACTGGGATATAGTTGAGTTTCTTGAAAAGAATTTAAACCTTTTGACGTTTGCTTTTAGGTCTTGTTGAGCATGAGTACTGCAGCTTTTAATCTAGGGCTAATTCTTTCTGTTACTGTGGAAATAACCTTCTGAGTACTCCACCCGATTCCCTCTGAATTATGAGATTTTCCACACTGATTGGTGGAAACTATCCCTGGTCCTATATAAGCGTTAGGGACTGCTCCCTCTGTTTTGTTTTGTATGTTTCTTCTTTCAGCCTCAGGGGCTTTCTTCACACATATACACTGATCAGTACTCAGCTAGACACTCACAGAGTACCCAGTGGTAACTCTCTATCCTCTGGTACTTTGCCCTACTAACTGTGGTCTTGGCCTCCGAGATTCCCAGGACCATCTATCTCCTCAGTTTAGGGGTACTGCTAAGCTCTGCCTGCACTCTTTCCATTGTACTGTGATCTGATATCTTTTCCTAGACAGTAAAGTGGTACAATCATAGGGTTTACGTCATTAGCTTTCCCTTTCTCAGATATCACTGGCCTGTACTGGCTGATGTCCACTGTCTAAAAATATTGTTTCATTTATCTGTCCAGTTTTTTAGTTGTTTCAGACATAAGAATAAACCTAGTCCCTATGATTCCATCTTTGGTTGGAAATGAAAAAAACAAATTTATTTGATTTTGTACTTGTATCACTTTGTTTTTAGGCTAAGAATCTTATTCCCTAATGACATTAGTACATAATTACTTATCTGCTTTACATAAAGAAGTTTCAAAATTACACTAACATTACTCCTAACAATGCAGCTACTGAGTACAGTTTAAGCTTTTGTTGGTAGTTATCTTTGTCATTTAGAACACATCTTCCTAGACACTGACACTCAAAGTGCAATGTTTTCAAGTCACTTAAAGTGATTCTTTCATCTGCAGTCATGCCAACAACCAGATATACAGTTAGAATCATTTGTTTCAGTTTGTTTCAATTTTTAGCACTTTTTAAATTTTACTTCCAATTTCCAAACTTTTAAATTCTATTTAAAAAAAATGTACATGGTTGTAAAGTTCAAACAATATAAATATATACACATACACACAGAGATCTCACGTGTTTACCTGTTCCCTCTTCCAAGTTCCTTCCCAAATTCTGAGTAATCAATTGTATTAGTCTTAGGTTTATCATTCCATTGTTTCTCTCTCCTTCTCTGTATGCATGTGTGTGTTTTCAGATAAAACCGTACTCTAGATATGAACTGTAGTGAAATACAGAGTTCTTCCTTTTCCATGTTATCATTGCATAGATGTAGCGTGACTTATTCTACCCGAATCCTATTATTGGACATTTATATTACTTCTAGTCCTTTGCTATTATAAAACACTGGCACAGTGGATAAAAACCTTACTTTATTTGACAATTATCCTCAGGAAAACATTTTCAAAGTAGAATTCCTGAGCGAAAGGGTAAATGTGTTATGTAATTTTGCTAGATAACATCAAATTCCCTTTCACCAAGGTATGGATGTGCTCATTTCACACAGTGTTGCCAACAAAACACACTGTCAAAATTTGGAGCCTGGCTGATCTGATAGATAAAAAATGGTATTTCAATGTTTTAATCTGTATTTCTTTTATGATCAAGACTGAACATCTTTTCACATGTTTAAAGGACATCTGCATTTCTTTCTTGTGGATGAGCTGTTCATATCTTACTTTTTGTTTGGTGGTGGCCTTTTCCTCTCAAATTGTGAAACTCCTTATAGTGTAAGGATATTGGCCATATGTTTGCGGTAACGTGCAGACATCGCTTCCCAGTTTGCCATTTATATTCTGGCTTCAACTAAGGTTTTGTTTTCAACCTGTAAAAGTTAACCTATACTTTGTCAAATTAATTAATCTTTTCTTTCCTCACTGGATTTTGAATCATACTTAGAGGTTTTTTTTCATCCTAAGATTATAAAGGAATTAAGCCTAATTTCTTGAATATGCATAACCATCTACATAATTTATAATAAAGGGTCACATTGACTTTTTAAAATTTTTGGTTCATCTTCTTTCCAATGATACATATTTAAATATGCTGCTCTACTGATTACTTGTTTGGAGCACTGTGGTCAAGAAGCATGCCAATCTGATTTTCTGTCCCTTATAAATTGATCCTTTTGCCTGGGATTTTTCAAAGGGTTTTTCTGTTTTGTTTTGTTTTTTTACCATCAAAGTCCAGTACTTTCACTAGGATGGGTAGCACACAATTTAAAATCATGGCGTGTCTTCTCAGTATGTAGGTTCATGACTTGTTTTACCTCAGGGAAGTGTTCTCAAATTGAGTATTTAGTATTTGTTCAGTTTGATTCCTTTGGTTTTTCTACAGGGGCTTCAATTACATGTTTGTTCAATCTTCTTTCCTTGTGTTCTATACCATTTTACCTTAAATACTTTTCATTAATGTGTCTGTGTTTTCATTTACTCCTTTGTACGTTCTATATCCTTTGCCATACTTTCCATGGTATCTGTTTGCACTATGTTCTTTCAGTCTTGTCTTCATATCTGAAATTATTTTTTTCTAATTCTTTCAGGGGTTCATAGTCTTATTTCACGTCCTCATATTGTTTAGTCATCTCATTTCTGAGCTTTTCAATTTCTGACTCATGCTGTTCTGTCATAGCTTCTATAGGTTTCTTAAGTTACAGTTTTCATCTGTTTTTCTGATATGTTTCCATGATCTGTTAACATTTTATTTCAGTTCACTTTCTTCTTCTTTCTTTTTAACTGACTTTGTGTGACACTTCACTGCAATATTTTTTGTTGCTCGTGTTTAAATGAGATGTTTTTGTACATTTCACAGAAGCTTTCCATTTTCGTGAAGATGGGCCAGGGTGGCTTTCCTGAACTCCATCCTCTGTTGTAATAAAGTTGTTGTGTTTTTTTTTTTTAAGATGGCCTGTATGTATGTCCGCTTCTATGGTTCTGAGATTCTCTCTAGTTTTTGAAACTTTCCTCCTTTTCCCCTATTCTTTCCCTGTACAAAATGGATCTAATCCCCAGTAGGCTTTTCCTTAGGATATGTCTGTCCTTTTGCAAGAGTTTTTGGTGAGTTTTCCTAAGGTCTTTGAGGGCTCAAGGTGGTCTAGTTCCTTCTGATCTTCTCAAATCCCCTTAGTGAATCTCTGTGGCCTCTGTGTACCTTTTCTGCCCTCTCTCCAAGGTACAGGAAGTGGAGGCCTCCCAGGTTATTTTTTGACAGGTTACTCCCATAAGTATTTGCTGGAAGTGGGATCCTCTTCTTTTTGGGTACTATGTATCAGAGCATTTGCTTGGTATATCAGGGCTCTTAGGACCTTCTGCAATTCTTCTTGTTTCTCTTCACAAATTCCCCACAGCTGCTAACACTTTCTGATCCTTGCTCTGTCTTCATTCTAGGGTGAGTAGGAGAACCTTAACACTCATTTTTGATGAAAATGTTTGTGTATCCTACTGCTATTCTAGGTTTGTCTGTTTTAGTAAATAGATTTTTGAGGAAATTCAGATGCTATGCTGCTTTGAAGACCTTACCCCAACCAGGAATCTTTTTTTTTTTTTAAATAATACAAAACATCTGATGGCATAATTTAACAACCTGATGACATTTTTCATTTTAATAGTGTTAAACTAGAGTAATTACACATAATTCAAAAAGCAAAGAATACAAAAAAATTTGCTATTTTCTTATCACTTACGTCCTTCTTGGCCTTAATCTCTGATCACTATATGGAATCAATGCCACAAGCTGGTTTTCTTGCCCTAAAAGTAAAAGTACATTTAGAAATTTATTAACACTATTAATTAAAATATAGTAGATTTCTATCTAAGTGTGGTTTAGAAAGATCAGACTACAACCCAGCTCTCATCTCATTACTTTAGTAAACTGCTCTCAAATCTTCAAAAATTATCAAGTAGACATTGAGTTCTAAAAGAGGTAATTTATATTTCAGAGCTTGATGTCTAGACAAAATAATACAAAGAATGAGAAAGAGTAATCTTTTTACTGAAAAAAATCTAAAAAGTCCCAGCTTTCAGAAGATCTGAATTCACCAAGACTTCCTTCAACTGTGTATTTTCCACTTAGATTCTGATTTGGGTATCTGGATAAGGGCAGAAGAAATAGCGCTACCTTGCTGTCCTGAAATCACTATAACTACAGAGGTTCCTACACTATATTCTTGAAAATCAAAAGTGACACACAGAAAGTCTCATGCTTCAAGAGCTTATACAAAATGAGCCTTCCACAACTCATTTAGGCCACACATTGTCTGCATTATGTGACTCCAAAATCCATCCTTTATTTCCTGGGTTGGGCTATATCCAGATTTAACAGATAAGTAGATCTTTAATACGCCAATTTTTCCAATCTTATCAGAACTAGGCTGTTTGTAATAACTCTTAAAGCACTAGAGTCACATTCTCTCTTTTTTTTTTAATGATTATTTATTTTTGAGAGACAGAAAAAGACAGAGTGTGAGCAGGGGAGGGGCAGAGAGAGACGGAGACACAGAATCCGAAGCAGGCTCCAGGCTCTGAGCTGTCAGCACAGAGCCCGACGCAGGGCTTGAACTCAGGAGCCGTGAGATCACAACCTGAGCCGAGTCGGACGCTTAACTAGCTGAGCCACCCAGGCGCCCCATAGTCAAATTCTCTTTTAAAGCTTCCTGTAATGCTTCCATTATTCCTCCCTGCCCCTTCCACAACTCTCTCCTCATTTACACTACCTCCCCACACCACATTTAAATATATATTACATACACATATTTTTTTCTGTGTGTACACATATCCCGTCTTTTTTGGTGATGTTCATTTGGCTAAACTACAATCCTGCTTAAAAGTAACCTTTTAGCTCCTACGGTGATATCCATACAGCTAAATATTAGCAGAGAAAAACATACAACTATGCTCACTGGCTTCATTTAGATCACTAATCACAAGTGGCCTTTAATGTCAGTCATCATACATTACCCAGGTCACACTCTTAATCTGACTCTCCAAAACCACAATTTCACACTTCAACTTTGTTTTCAAATCTCCAATAGCTCCTTCCCTATCCTCACTCTTAGCTCATCATGTGACAAAACAGAACTTCCACAAGCTCCCACCACCACGTCTATGCACCTACCTGTCTCTGTGTCCATACACTCTACATTCTCTCCTATTACAAAGAGTAAACTACAGGTGCTCCTCTGTAAGAGCAGCCCCCTGCTCTTGTGTACTACATCTAATAATTCTCCCATCTCCTGCGCTATCACCTTTTTTCCTCTATGTATCATTCTCATCAGCATACAAATTATTCACTCCATCTTTTTTTTTTTTTTTTTCAACGTTTATTTATTTTTGGGACAGAGAGAGACAGAGCATGAACGGGGGAGGGGCAGAGAGAGAGGGAGACACAGAATCGGAAACAGGCTCCAGGCTCTGAGCCATCAGCCCAGAGCCCGACGCGGGGCTCGAACCCACGGACCGCGAGATCGTGACCTGGCTGAAGTCGGACGCTTAACCGACTGCGCCACCCAGGCGCCCCCACTCCATCTTTTAAAAACTCCCTTTCCTGACTCAGAGCCCCCCTCCCGCTACCGTCTCTATTCTTTGCTTATATATATAGTAAAACTCCTCAAAAATACTACTTTCTTACTACATAACTTCACTCCTCCTATTCACTATTGATCCCACGCTATACGTGCTATATGCAACCTGCCACAGCTGCCCTTTTAAAGGTATCCAGTGGTCTCTATCCACATCACCAAATCCAATGGTCAGTTCTCACTCCTTACATTACCCGATCTATCAGTAGCATCTAACAGTTGTACACTCTCTCCTCCTTGGTACACTTTCCGCATTTATTTCCAGGACACCACAGATACAACGGAATTTCCTCCTTCTACTCTAGCTGCTTTTTCATTGTCTTTGCTAAATCTTCCTCCTGTCACTGAGTTTGAAATGTTGAAATGTCCCAAGGTTCAGCATTAGGGTCTCTTTTTTTTCCATTCACACTGATAAGCTTGGTGCTCTCATCCAACTCAGCTTTAAGTACCACCTGTATTATGATGACTCCAGCCAAGGCCTTGCATTTGAATTCCAGACAATTATAACTAAGTCCCTACTAAATAGGTCCACTTAGATGTCAAATATGCATCTCCACACTTACATCTCTAAAACAGAACTCCTGATCTCTCCCTGGATATACACACTCAAACCTTCTTTTCTCCATTTTAATTAACAGCTACACCATTCTTCCAGCTATTCAGACAAAAATACCTTCAGAGTCATCCTTGACTTTCTACTATCCACAATCCACTTCCAGGCTGCCAAAAAAGCCAAGTGGTTATACCTCAAAATCATAACCCGATTGCCAGAATGGTCCTTTTTTTTTTTTTTTTCCTGTCTTAGCCTAAGGCACTAATCCCTTCACCTACAAAAATCCTTTTATTCTGTATCAGGTACTTATCCCTGCAATGCTAAAGCCATCACATTGAAAGGCCAACTCATATGTAAACTTCCCCAATCTAATGCATTGCTTAGAAACTCTGGTATACCTAATGTGGACACTGCCCTTCCCTCATAGTTTCTCCAGGGTTACCTATCAACTTCAACCAGGCAGAAAATGAGGATGGCACAAAGTATTTTCATGATTTCTACTGTCGCCACTTCTACTAAAGTTTGTGTAGGCTACAAACAACACATGAAGATTACTCCCTTCTGAATTTCCCTATGATATGCCACCAACTGATCCCCCCCACCCCCCCGTATGACCCATCTTCATTTACCAACCCTTTTCATGTAGTTCCTCTTAAAAATAACTAATTAGGGCATGACTGGCTTGCTTTTATTCTTTACATCGTGAACTAAAAATATTAGGTCACCAAATTACTTAAATTGTTCCTAGTGCCCAACGTGATTATGACCAAATAGGACTAAAAATTTTCAGTCAAAAGACACTGCATATCTAGTATCACAAGGGGGAAAGAAAACAATACTAGATGTAGAGGGGTGGTTTTCATTACTGCTTTGTAAACCTGAATGTGTTTATGGGTTTTTTAAATGTTTATGTTTGTCTCTTTGTGTCCGTTTAACTGAAGATAACTGATACACAGTTTTAACTTTAATCCTACAAGTTTTTAAAACACAAAGGGCTGTGCTTTGATCTATGGGTTTGCTATCATTACAAATTCATTACAAATCCAGTGCAAATGCCTGGAATAACTCTTTAAAGGAAAAATAACACAGTAACACATACCCCTAGGAATTCTTCCTGTTCCTTGACAAGTGGGACAAGTGACACTATCTCTTCCTGTAAATTCCACATACGGAAACTGAGAGACATCTCCACCTCTTCCATCTTCATTATGGACTTCATTATTAACCAGTCCATTCCTCATATTTTCAGTTGATGTGACTCCATCATAAGCATCTTCTTTATTTGAATGCAAAGGCAAATGAGAAAAAGACTTTCCCATGTCTAAAGAAAAAGAAATATCTTACGATAAAATCAGGGTAAAAGTACGTACACTCAAGAACATTATGGGATTTTTATACCAATATAATTAACACAGAGCAAACTTCAAGGGAATATTCAAATTACTTTTTGGATTAGAATTATATTTAATCAGGGTAACAGTTGAAACAAGGGAGCCAAGAGTCCAAAGTGTTTTTTTCTAACAAATTATTATAAAATGGTATCATATCAGACTCATGATGAGAATGGGCTCTCAAACATTAAAATTGCACATAAGTTTGCACTTTTTAAGGTTCTCTGAAAAGAAAGCGGTCTTCACTAGAATACAACAAAAACATATTGTACCTTTAAACCAATTAGCACGAAAGGCTAAAGTTGCTTTAGGCAGATTATGACTGTTATTATATTGGATTACTAGGTAAGTTTGAAAGAAGACTTTAACCACCTCTTGTTCCTCCTCAGTCTGTACTTTCTAGGTGCTTAAATTCTTCTTTCCAGCTTATCTCTTCTCAGGCAAAAGACCCTGAGGGCCAAGCATCCTGTGATGGTAAGCAAAACACGCCCTTCAAGCAATAAGGGCTTTCCAGACCCCAAGACAATTATCGATCTGAACTTATTGGCTACCTGCACATACCCACCCACCTTTGTCCCACATTTTCCTTATATAAACTCAGAAGTATTTTTAGCACTTTGGAGACAATCTTTGTGACTTTAGTCACGGTCTTCCCATGCTGGCCTCACTGAAATAAATTCTTCTCTTGTTTCGCTACCACTTGTCTTTCTGCCTTTGGATATTGTTAGTGGTGAGTGGTTGAACCTCGTCAATTTGGGACCCTCGGAACCACGTGCTCTTGTACCCCTAAACAGTGGCTCCAAGTCAAAAGTAGTACTTTTCTGGGGCGCCTGGGTGGCTCAGTTGGTTAAGCATCTGACTTCGGCTCAGGTCAAGATCTCATGGTCCTTCAGTTTGAGCCCCAAGTCAGGCTCTGTGCTGCTGTCAGTTCAGAGCCTGGAGCCTGCATGGGATTCTGTGTCTCCTTCGTTCTCTGCCCCTCCCCCACTCACGCTCTGTCTCTCAAATAATGAATAAATGTTTAAAAAAATTTTTTTTTAATTTTTTAAAAAGTAGAAGTAGTACTTTTCAGCCTTTTAAAATTCATGCGCTTTTTGATAAATAAGATCCACAATCCTTCTCATTCTCACATTTCTAGCTTGAAACTTTTAAAGTTTCAACAAAAACTCAAAACCAAATCCCGCATTTGTCTTTCATTCAACAGTTGATGAAATTTCAAAATTACATTGAAACTAATATCCCAAGATATTTAACAGAATTCATCAATACAAAGCAACATTTAGAACACTTAATTTCAAAACTTTAGGGTGACAGTATCAAAAATAACTTGGGTAAAATTTAAATTTACATTTAACATAAACTTAAAACCAAGTAAGAATAAGTGGTAGTGCCTACATATATACCATACCTATACACAATCACCTCTGCAGGTACGTAATGCAAGAGTACTGCAGTTGAGTCATACAATTTTCAGGATGAAATGAACTTAAAAGTCATATAATCCAATCTGCTGACATTCTCAGGGAAAATTAATAAAAAGGGAAAGCAGAATTACAAATAACGTTTCTGCTCTTTCCAAATTTGACCATTTATCTTTTATCAGTTCCTACAAATGTATTATTATAGACATTCATACAAAGAGATAAGCATGTCTTTTAGAAATTCTTATTGATTTGAGTAAGGAAAACTGACACTCAGTAATTCAAGTTATAGTATAATATGGAGAAAAGTTTACTTTTAATACTGGCATGCCACCCACATCCTGGGATCATTCAAACATAGTATATACAGCAGGATAAAAAATATTCACAACCAGATCAATTTAAAATTGTAGAAAGATGAAGGTGCTTATTTTCACTATTTTACTATTTTAAAAAATCTATGTACACATTATCCATGTAAGCTGAAAAACATACATGATCTATAACGTCCACAAATGCATCATCTTCTCTTGGCTTGTCTCAGTGACATTAAACCCAGGCCAAACCAATTTGCCAGTCACAGGTGGTTCAGGGGTGAATTAACATCACTATCTCCACACACTGACCTTGGGACCTGTCTGGAATATCAGTTGAGCAGGGATCAGGGGCCTCAGCAGTGTGGCCACCGAGCCATCCTTTCTGGGATCTTAGCACAACAGGAGTGTTAAGATGTATCCCAAAGAATCCTTTGGGGGAAGGGGGCTGGGCGGACAGGGAGGCACAGAGGGCAAGATCAAGTGGCTCTCAGTCTGGACTTGTTTTCTTTCTGTATCTAACAGTTGTCTTGATGAGTCTGCCTCTGACAAGTGTTTATTTCAGCAACGCTAACTGACAAGCATCAGACTTAGGCACTAGGTATCCCCGCCCTCCCTACTGGATATTCCTCCCATCAAACAGTATTTAGCCACTTCTATTCCTAAAAACCCATTGGTTTATGAAGAGGTGCTACACCCCCCTTTCTTTTCCCTATATGCAATGTTTTCATCGCAATCTCTTACTGAAAACCCAACATGGATCTAAGACTTAGCAGAGAGAGGGGGGAAAAAGTACAGCATTCCATCCAATCTAAATGGGTCGTTTTCTTCTATGATAACGAAAGCCGGCACCTTTTGTAAGCTGCATAAACAAAACACAGCACACAGCCTACTCTGGAAAGGTTAAAGATAAGATCAAGGCAACCGTGCAAAAAAAAACTAAAGAAGAGCAAAAGCAGGGGGCACCTGGCCGCACAAGGTGTGGGAACCTGGAATCAACCCTAGGCAGGAGACTAGGTCCGGATAGGTGGTGACAAAACACCGCCATTATCCAACCCTGAGCGCCCCCTGGGTCGCTGGGCTGGGCTGGCTCCCCTGCGGCCTCCCCTGTTCTACCTCTTTCCTTCCGCTTGACTCTTTCCAGGACGCCTCCGCTGGGCTCTACTCCGAAAAAGGGACCGAGGGCCTGCGCGTTCAGATTACTCACCTGCACGCAGAGCGCTGCGCAGTCCCGAGCTGCTCCGGCGCGCACTGGCCAGGGAATAGGGTCACGGGGTCTGCAGTCCGGATCGCTGGGGCTGGGACTACAGGCCTACAAGCGGCGGCCGCTGATTCGGAGCGGGGGAGGGGCAGCAGAACGACGGCTTTGGCTGAGGCCTGGCGCTGCTGCAACCTGCGTCCGCGCCTGCGCAGAGCTCTCTCCTAGGAGGTGTGTGACCCAGCAGTGCGCACGACGCATGCGTCTTTCCTCCGCCCTGCTAAAGTCCGGAAGGGCAACTGCTATGAGTGTGCACCCTCCAGGTTATGTTACCTTGGTCTCTCTCAAGTCTTGAAGGTAAAAATTGGCCGCTCTCGCCCTGGAAAATTTAAAAATAATAGTACTTCCTTTTTCTTTCTTTCTTTTTTTCCTGTCAGGCCTTTTCCTTTTGCAAAGGGGGAAAAACAAAACATACACTATCTACTTCAAACCCTCAGCTAAGAAGCTTTCTATCCACGCCTTGCGAGTCGTCCGTGATTGACACTCGGCGACGCTGGGAGTAGGATAAACTGGTTGGTAGACACGCGTCTGACAGCTGAAAAATCACATCATTTAAAATTTAGAAACTAACCCAGTAGAAGGAAACCAAGCTTGGCAGGAGCCCTAGTTTTGTTTGTTTTGGTTTTGTTTGTGTTTTGCACATGGTTCACCTCCCTCCACTCCCCCTCCTGCCCCTTCCCCCTTAAGTACGTGGTTACAGCAGGATAAGATCCCAGCCCAAGTCACTGTGCTTCAATTTATCGCTGTGGCTTGGGGCTACTGTCCCCAACGTCTCAAAGGCTAGGTTATCTCCTTTGGAAGATGAGAATAACAATACAATTGCAGACTAGACTCGCTGCCTTCAGAGAATTTAACGTTTAATGAATGTTACCTATTGTTACAATCACGGTCACAGCATACATAGTAACCAAGAAAGGAAGTGACAGTGTTTTATTTCTCTTCTGACGGGATCAGTGTGTTTAACTGGTGGAATAGTAAGATGTAAAAATAAGAAATATAAGTCAAAATAATATGCAATTTAAGATTTAAAGTTATTACATACACATGTAAGCCAATAAGCCTTCTCAGCCAATGTTGGGGAAAATGTAGTTTCATAACTTTCTGACAGGCATTTTAGCAATACATATCAAGAGAATTAAACATTTGGGGACACCTGGCTGGCTCAGTCGGAGGAGCCTGTTGACTCTTTAGCTCCAGGTGGTGGGGTGGTGAGTTCCAGCACCTTGCTGGGTGTAGGGATTACTAAAAA